CCCCTGCCCGTCCCCCCGCCATCCCCTGCCCGCCCCGGGGCGCGGTGGTCACCCTCCCTCTTCCCCCCGCAGTCCTCGGTGAAGCTGAAGCTGATCTGCGCCCAGGTGCTCCGGGACCTACTGGGGGAGGCCATCGAGGTGAGGGGGACCCCCCCCCCCCTCCGTGGGGCTACCGTGATGGAGGCAGAGTGTTATAACACTGTGATTGCATAATTAGCAATATTACTGACTTTCATATTCTTAATGCAAGCCTTAGTGTTAATAATGCTAGCGGCCAGCACTAGTGGTAACAATATAGATGTTAAGCAGTAGTAGTATTAATGCTAAGGTGAGAGTTACTAGCGTTAATGTCGGTAGCGAATGCGTTACGGGGCTGTACGGTACCTGGCGTTCACCCTGGCGGCCCCGCGCTCTGCTCTCCCCGCAGTATGAGAAGATCCTGAAGCTGACCTCGGACGCCAAGTTAGGTGAGCGCTGCTGCCCCAGCCCCGACTGGGGTCCCCCCCCCCGGGGAGCCGCGCTCCGGGGACGGGCAGCGGTCTGGCAGGGGACGCCTTCCCGAGGCGGCGGAGCTAACCCTCCATCTCGCCCGCAGAGTCCGGGGACGTGAAGGCGACCATCGCCGTCCTCGGCTTCATCCTCTCCAGCGCCGCCAAGCACAACGTGGACAGCGAGTCCCTGTCGAGCGAGCTGCAGCAGCTGGGGCTGCCCAAAGGTAGGGGGGACCCTCGGGGCGTCACCACGGGCCGGACCTGGTGGGACGTGCCAGGGCTGAGCTGGCAGCCCCCGGCGCTGCCTTCTTCACGCCCAGATCCAGCGCGGGATGGCAGCCATGTTGTCCCCCACCACCTCCCCTCTGCGCCATCCGTCCCCGGGGGTCCTCTGGGTGCGTTACCGGGATTTGGCCGCAGCGGAGCCGTCGTGAGCGGGTGGGTTTTCTTGTCTTGTCTCTCCCCCCCCGCCGGGCAGAGCACGCCAGCGGGTTGTGCCGGTCCTACGAGGAGAAGCAGAGCTCCCTCCAGGACAGCCTCAGGGCCTGCAGCCTGAGACGTGAGTGTGGCATTGGGAGGTTTGGGGGTCTGTCACCCTGCCCGAGCGCGCCAGGGTGCTGACGCCGCCCGCCCGCCCTAGTGAGCCAGCTGGGCTCGGTGTGCTGGCGGGTGGATTACACCCTCAGCTCCAGCGAGCTGCGGGAGGTCAACGAGCCCCTCGTGCACCTGACCTTCAACCTGCGGGACGGGGAGCGTGGGAGGACGGCAGCCGTCCCTGTGGCCCTCTCGGCCGACAAGTTCCGGGTGCTGCTGGCAGGTGAGGCCAGAAGGGCGGCAGCAGGGACCCCTGTCCCCGGGGGGCCGGGGCTTCTCCTGCCAGCAGCACTGGGGGGGTTGGCCCACCGCCTCCTCCCTCTCTCCTCAGAGCTGAAGCAGGCCCAGGCCCTGATGAACACCCTTCTCTGAGGAGCTGGGAGATGGGGCGATGGCAGGAGGCGCCGACGCTGGATCGCAGGGTCGCAGGACAGGACCCGGTGCGCCCGACCGCCCCCGGTGCTGCCCGGCTGGGGAGGGGGAA